AGGATGGAGTTTGGAGTAATTTGCAGCCACTAATTGCTAATTAGGACAGGTTAAACCGGAATAAACCGGAATAACCCTCTCGATCGGCACCTCCGGTGCTCAAGGCAAAGGCTCAGACCCAGCTCCTACGCTACAAAACCGGAAATATTATTTTTCTTCTCCCTTTGAAGCTTCCTATTTTCAGAGTTTCAGCAGATTTTGGGGCAAAACGCTCCCGATCGAAGCAAATGCTGCGGTTAATTGCCGAGCTACGCAGAAGGAGGGAGACATCGCATGGGTTCAAGCGGGTCAAATAAAAATAATTCAGGTTTTACAAAGCACCGGATCGCAGGAAGGCACGAGGCAACTCACAGGAGCCACCGCAAAGCAAACCCACAATTTAAGGAGAATAAAACGGGAGTCGCAATTAATCGCCGTTAATTCTCGCTTATGATTTCGTCGCGTCCACGTTTGCTTACGCGCCTGAGCACCAACCGCCTCCGGGTTGGTTTTTTTTTTTTTGCAAAGGCAAAAATCAAGGTAAAACCCCCCCCAAGCCCCCACGTTATCGACGTTCACCGCCCGCTTTAAAATGGCAAATATCTATCGCACAAAGTAACTCCCCCCCTCCGGCAGCTCCATGGGCAAATAAAAGCCTCGTTAACAGAGAAGATCGTTAAAACGCCAGGTCTTATTAAAAATCGCAGGGCAAATTTTCGAGCTCCCCAAGCAGATTTTAAATCGCAATCTCCGCCGAAGCCAGCGCAGGCGTGGCCACGGTCGTCCTCCAGGAGAGAAGGAACCGATGAATGTTTTACAACAACGAAACAAAGCGTCCCGTCCCGATAAGGGTCATTAAATCGTCATCGTAAACGAGCCGTGTCAAAGATACATCTTAAAATGTCCAAAAAGGCCTAAAAAAGTCTTAAAATGTCTAAAAAAAGGTCTTAAAAGGTCTAAAAAAGCCTTAAAAGTTCTTAATGCGTCTTAAAAGGTCTTTGAAAATGTCTTAAAACATATTAAAACGTCTTAAAACATCTTAAAAGGCCTAAAAAAGCCTTAAAATGACTAGAAAAAGTCTTAAAAGGTCCAAAAAGCATCTTAAAAGGTCTTTGAAAATGTCTTAAAACATATGAAAATGTCTTAAAACATGTTAAAAGGCCTAAAAAAGTCTTAAAAGGTATTGAAGCGTCTTAAAAGGTCTTTGAAAACGTCTCAAAATGCCTAAAACAGTCTTAAAATGTCTAAAACAACCTTAAAAAAAATCTTAGCAATCTAAAAAAAGTCTTAACAATCTAAAAAAAAGTCTTAAAAGGTCTAAAAAAATCGTTAAAGGCCTAAAAAGGTCTTAGAAGGTCTTGAAGCATCTTAAAAGGTCTTTGAAAATGTCTTACAATGTCTTAAAATGCCTTGAAACGTCTTAAAAGGTCTAAAAAAGCCTTAAAAGGTCTAAAAAGTCTCAGAAGGTCTTAAAAGGTCTCTGAAAAATTTATTAAAACACCTTAAAAGGTCTTAAAACACCTTAAAAGTGTCCAAAAGTCTTAAGAAGTCTAAAATAAAGTCTTAAAAGGTCTAAAAAAGCCTTAAAAGTTCTTAAAGTGTCTTAAAAGGTCTCTGAAAATGTCTTAAAACGTCTGAAAAGGTCTAAAAAAGTATTTAAAGGTCTAAAAAAGTCTTAAAATGTTTAGAACAGTCTTTAAAAGCCTAAAAAAAAGTCTAAACAGTCTAAAAAAAAGTCTAAAAAGGCCTAAAAAAAGTCTAAAAAGGCCTAAAAAAGTCTAAAAAGGGCTAAAAAAAGTCTAAAAAGGGCTAAAAAAAGTCTAAAAAGGGCTAAAAAAAGTCTAAAAAGGGCTAAAAAAAGTCTAAAAAGGGCTAAAAAAAGTCTAAAAAGGGCTAAAAAAAGTCTAAAAAGGGCTAAAAAAAGTCTAAAAAGGGCTAAAAAAAGTCTAAAAAGGGCTAAAAAAAGTCTAAAAAGGGCTAAAAAAAGTCTAAAAAGGGCTAAAAAAAGTCTAAAAAGGGCTAAAAAAAGTCTAAAAAGGCCTAAAAAAGTCTTAGAAGGTCTTTGAAAATTTCTTAAAACGTCTTAAAATGTCTAGAACAGTCTTTAAAAGCCTAAAAAAAAGTCTAAAAAGGCCTAAAAAAGTCTAAAAAGGCCTAAAAAAGTCTTAGAAGGTCTTAAGGCGTCTTAGAAGGTCTTTGAAAATTTCTTAAAATGTCCTAAAATGTCTAAAAAGTCTTAAAAGGTCAAAAAAATTTCTTAAGAGGTCTAAAAAAAGCCTTAAAAGGCCTAAAAAAGTCTTGAAACGTCTTAAAAGTGTCTTAAAAGGTCTCTGAAAATGTCTTAAAACATCTGAAAAGGTCTAAAAAAGTCTTAAAATGTCTAGAACAGTCTTTAAAAGCCTAAAAAAAAGTCTAAAAAGGCCTAAAAAAGTCTAAAAAGGCCTAAAAAAGTCTTAGAAGGTCTTAAGGCGTCTTAGAAGGTCTTTGAAAATTTCTTAAAATGTCCTAAAATGTCTAAAAAGTCTTAAAAGGTCAAAAAAATTTCTTAAGAGGTCTAAAAAAAGCCTTAAAAGGCCTAAAAAAGTCTTGAAAGGTCTTAAAAGTGTCTTAAAAAGGTCTCTGAAAATGTCTTAAAATGCCTTAAAATGCCTTAAAATGTCTTAAAATGCCTTAAAAGGCCTAAAAAAGTCTTGAAAGGTCTTAAAAGTGTCTTAAAAAGGTCTCTGAAAATGTCTTAAAATGCCTTAAAATGCCTTAAAATGTCTTAAAATGCCTTAAAAGGCCTAAAAAAGTCTTGAAAGGTCTTAAAAGTGTCTTAAAAAGGTCTCTGAAAATGTCTTAAAATGCCTTAAAATGCCTTAAAATGTCTTAAAATGCCTTAAAAGGCCTAAAAAAGTCTTGAAAGGTCTTAAAAGTGTCTTAAAAAGGTCTCTGAAAATGTCTTAAAATGCCTTAAAATGCCTTAAAATGTCTTAAAATGCCTTAAAAGGCCTAAAAAAGTCTTGAAAGGTCTTAAAAGTGTCTTAAAAGGTCTCTGAAAATGTCTTAAAATGTCTCTGAAAATGTCTTAAAACATCTTAAAATGCCTTAAAATGTCTTAAAAGGTCTAGAACAGCCTTAAAAGGTCTTTGAAAAGGTCTTAAAAGGCCTTAAAATCCAACTGGAAGGGGTGCGACGGCCAACGCTGCGAATCCCGGATGGAGACCTCCGGGATACCGGGCAAATCCCTGTGGGCGAGGGGGTTTTCACCGTGAATTTTCCCGGAAAGGGAGGGAAAAAGGGTCGGGAGCGGGGAAAAAAAACTTCCTTGGGATTGGAAATTCGTTAACTAAAAGCAATTAATTCTCTTAATTAAGCTCCTACCCAAAGCATTCTGGGTCAAAGTCAACCCCTGATGGCGAGAGCTCCGGCGTAGCCCGAGGGGATCCGTGCCGGAGCCGCCCTCGGAGCGGGAAGCCAACGCGGATCACGGTCGGTCTACGTCGGCCAAACGAATCCCAACTCCTCCCAGCCGGGCCGGCAAATGCCGGGAAGACGTCGGATTTGGGGCAACGCGGAAGCGCGCTCCTCCGCATCCCGAGCATTTTCCGCTCCGTCGGAAGCGGGTTTTGCCGGAGCGAGCGGCACGGAGGAGATTCCGGGTTTAATTTTGGGTTTAATGAACGCTGCTCGTTGAAATGGGAAGGGTTCGGCACTGGCGCCTTCCTAAAAATTCCCGTCTTAGGCTTCAACATCCCCCGGTACCGCGCGCTCCGGGAGGGATCCCTGAGGTCATCCCTAAAAATCGGCTCCTTTGGGTTCTGAAACCGCCGGAGTTTAGCGGGCAAAGTTTTTTCGGATGGGTCCCGTTCGGCAACGGGATGCGGGGATCAAGGATTTGGGATGAGGCAGTGGTGGCCAACGGGGGGCGGGGATCAAACCGGTTGCTTGGGTTGATTTGGGTTGAAGCGCTGGCGAGCGTGGGAGAAAAATCGAGATTAATTGGCTAAAACCCTGCTGAAGGGCCCAGTTAGGCCGGGCTTTGCTTTTCCTCACGGAGCGCGGGGAGGATTTGGTGCCAATTTACATTTTTTAAGCTTGATTTTAATTTTGGGGGGCGGGATTTCTGCTCCTTTTCCAGTGCTTTTTTGCCCTCCGCGCCCAACCCAGCTTTAAAAATAAACCCGGCTTATTCTCTACCACGTGCAACTCCCCATTTCCCAACCCGTCGGAGATGTCTAAGTCTTACCGTTGACTTAAGGGCTGGGATAAGCCCAGCTTAACCTCCAGAGTCCAAGCTTTAAGCGACGGCACAAGCTTTGCTTCCCTAAACCCACGGAGGGAATGCTAGGCAAGGAAAGAGCAATTAATTAAGAACAACGCGAGCTCGGCCTAATTTAAACCCGGACGACGGCGGTAAGGAGGGAGGAGCAAAGAATTAGGCGGAGCAGAGGCCGTGCCGCTGATTTAAAATTTTAAATTTCAGTTGAAATCTGGTTTTTTTCCTCAAAACCCACCCGGAAAAAGACACGGAATCACCCCCCCAGCTCCCCCCGCCGCGTTTTCCGGCCTCCTCATCCTGGTTTTCTGAAACGACAAATCCAGGTCGTTAAGCAAAGATTAACCTCAGCGCCCACCGGGGGTTTTTTTGGCACCCATGACCCGAGTTGAGCAAGGAAAAGCTTCGGAAAAATCACGGTGTTGGGCTTAAAAGCGCCGGGGCAAACGGCCGCGTCGGCCATGTTGAGCCCAAAACGTAACCGCGTTTCCGACGGGGTTTTATTTTTTTGGTTTTGTTTACGATTAGAAAGCCCCCAAAAATAGAAAATAAAATTAAATTAAAAGACCGAGCCAGGAATGAAAACGTATTTATTTATACAGAAAGCAGGTCTAGGACTGAGCCGTGAAATAAGCTGAGTCTAACCTGTTTCCGACTCCTCGCTGTCGGAGGAGCTGGACTCGCTGGTGCTCTCCGACTCCGAGGAGGAGAACCCCTTCATCTTGGAGGAACCAGCCAGGACGTCCACCTTCTCCGCTGCAGGGAGAGAGGGCGCGGCATCGTTAGGGCTTAATTAAGGAGCAGAGGCCTGCCTGCTGCTGCTGCTCCTCCTAAACCTGCAGCTCCTCCTAAACATCCCCTCCTAAACCTGCCTGCTCCTCCTAAGCCTGCAGCTCCTCCTAAAGATCCCCTCCTAAACCTGCCTGCTGCTGCTGCTCCTCCTAAACCTGCCTGCTCCTCCTCAACCTCCCCTCCCCA